CTGCAGGGTGGAAAGATAAAACTATCACTCAAGATAAAGCAGTAGATGGAATGATCGAAAGTCGTTTCAAACGACATATCGGTCGACACTCGCGACCTATTGTGACTAAAAAGTGTTTAGTTCACATACAGACAATTACTCAAATGCTTTGACATCGGCAAAGTAGCTCTACGCGTCTACTTCCAACGGCGAGTTGGCGCAACGTCCTGGGTACCTACTGATTGAACCGAGGTACATATAAGATCCAAACAAACAGGAGGACAGTTTACCTAACGCTCATCTGGGTTCGTCTACTAGTCCAGGAGACTAGGATGTAGTAAACACATAGCATAACATCTTAATGAGTCAGGGGATATATAGGCCGAAAGTGAATGCTGTCCCATGCAGTTATGCATCTGGTACAGCTATCAGTTCATCAAAGCAGCTGCCCCGCCCTAGCTACTACGGGGACATATCGATTAGTTTTTGAAACTACTATGTTTAAGGACCCAATATCTGTGAAAGCTGTGTGTAACTCCAGCGATCGGCAAAACCAGAATATTTACAAGGCCAATAAAGAACGCAACTTTTTTCACGTTTACCGGTGCGTCTTATTACAAACGGTAGCGGTAAGGGCAGACAAAGTGGATAAATGTACTTTCTTATGCTAAATAAAGTCAAAAATGGGGCTTAATTTTGAAAATATAAACGCTAAGGCCCTTAGAATAGGCTTTTAGAACAAGGCGTAGGAGCGCTCCGAGAGCAGAGGCTAACGTGGACTAAGTTTGCTACCAAATCGAAGGTGGTAACCTACGAAATGCAGCATTTTAAGTAAATGATTTAGGTTAAAAAAAGTTAAGTTCACTGGACGGATTTCAAGTGAAATGACGCAAGAAAGGGAACTTACTCTGGAGTCTAGATACCGTCCACCACATTCTCCATCCTCTTCGGACGAAAATTGTGTGGTGGGCGGAAGTTCATTGCTACATTTAAAGGCTACAGACTTTGGGGAACACTTTGCGTACGAATTGGCGCCATGTGGTGAGCGGTCAGGGAGCATTTCGAAACTGTCGTCATTTTCGTCGCCTGATTCCTCACCCGAGTCGATAATTGAAGCGCGTCGCTGAAGACGAACAGGCATCAGTGAAAGACGACTAAGTTTGATTTAAAAAAAGCTGCACTTTACAAAAGTAAAATGCGAATAGCCGAGAGTGGAAGCACATGGGGATTGTGAAGAATGTTATCATTATATTATAAGTGAGGGCGATAATCAAGAGATCCAAAAATGATTTCAAAAGTCGCTGCCGGGCACAATCTTTATCGCACGAGGAAAAACAGGGTCGTCGAACTTAAGAACTACACGGAGCCATCAAACACTTACACAACATCGCATGGAGTTGACAAATAAATTATTGTGCATATTGTTTGTGCACTTTGACCATTTTAGATGCCATCTACAGGTACGATGCTCATTTTTAGTACGAGCAGTCTAGGAAAAGTGTAGAAGAGATAGCATCGCAGAATTATATATGATAAGCTGCGGCAAAGCACTGGTCATCTCCCACCGAGCTAAGAACAAGCAAGACGCCAAAGATTTCGATAGCAGGAAAATAATGACATAAATAGATAATATAAATAATGTGTCTCGTTGTTTCGACTTGGGTTCATATACGAAGGTTTGGTGCGGCTAACAGCATCCACATTAAACGGGAAATAGTACGGTGTTCGTACCATAAACGAGTTATCGATCTTCTCCCTTATCTCGCGGTGGCCATCTGCATCTGCTCTTATTTGGTGAATAAACTC